TGGACTAGTTACTTAAACTTCTCTAAGCCTAAGAATGAGACACTGCTACCTCCCTGATGTGCCCTAACATTACGACTTTAGTCCCACTGTTCCGAGATAGTGATACTTGTGGACTGAGTTGTGCACCCCAACCGCCCGAATTCATGTGCTGAAGTCCTAGACCCCAAATACTTCGGAATGTGACTACAGGTAGAGCCAGGGCCTTTAAGGAGGTAATAGAAAATGACGTCATTGGGATGAGCGGTGATTCAATATAATGGGACACAGGCACGGAGGGAGGAAGGACTGTGTGAGGTCACACGTTGAGGACGTCCACGTGTGAGCCAGGGAAAGAGGCCTCAGGAGAAACCAGCCCTGCTGACACCTCAATCTGGGACTTGTCGCCTCCAGAACTGTGAGGAAGCAAATTTCTGTTGCTTAGGCCACTCAGTCTGTGGCACTGTGTTACGGGCAGCCATAGCACACTCACATGACACTAAGTAACCTTTGGAGGCCCTCCGGGATGGGGAGCACAGAGCTGCCTGCTCTAATTTAAAATATTATTCAGGCTTAAAAAAGAAGGAATCCTGCCAAGTGCAAAAACATGGATGAACCTGGAGGGTGTTATACTATGTGAAATGTCAGACACAGAAAGACTTATATGTGGAATCTGGAAAGATTGAATCACGGAAGCAGAGGGTAGAATGGTGGGTGCCAGGGGCTGGGGGGAGGGGGAAGGAGGGATGTTTTTAAAGGGTACCAAGTTTCTGTTATGCAGGATGAATAGGTTCTGGAGACCTAAGGAAGAGTATGGTGACTATAGTTAACAGCACTCTATTGTACACTTGAAATTTGCTAAAAGATTGGTAGTTCTTTTTGTTTTAAAAGATTTATTTTTTTAGCGAGAGGGTAGGGGAGGGAGATAAAGAGGGAGAGAAACATTGATCAGTTACTCCTCACACTCCCAACCCAAAACTCCCCCAACTAGATGCCTGGTCCACAACCCAGGCGTGTGTCCTGACCAGGAACCAAACCCACGACTTTTCAGATCTCAGGCTGGTGCTCAACCCACGGATCCATACCAGCCAGGGTGAGAGTAGTAGTTTTTAAATGTTCTCATCACAAAATAAATAAAAGGTAACTGTGAGGTGATGGATATGTTAGTTTGAGTGCAATAATCCCATTTCACAATGTATATGTATATAAAAACATAACATTGTAACCTTAAATATATACATTTTTAATTTATCAATTATACCTCAATGAAGCTGGGGAAAAACACTTAAACCACGAAGCACATCCATCCCTTCCTGGCCCGAATTTCTATTTTTTCCTAGCGTGCCCTCTGTCTACTTTTCAAGTCAAGGCCAGAAAATGCGAGACCTCAAATCTTGCCCGGCATTTCACTGGCTCTATTGAGAGAGGAAGAACGTTTGCTGGGTACAAGTTAGGTGTTATGGGTACTGGTCATGAAAGTGAATTCCAGGGTCAGACTAAGCAGAGATCGTGGGTCTCCCCTTTGTTTCTAATTATGTATTGCACCTAACAAATTCGTATTAAATTTCACATTTACTTTCACGTTGGGTTGATCGCTTCTTTGAGTGATAGGTTTCTTCCCACTGAAGGACACAAAATTCTTTTTCTCTGTCACATGCTTGTATCTTTCTTCTTCAAGGTGGACCCTCCATCCTGAGACTGCGCAATCTGATGAATAACATGAAATTTTTCTGTCTCTTTATTCAGATTTGTCTAAACTTAATAAACTCAAGAACTGAACATTCCTGCTAATAGCTACTGTTGCTCAGATGTTGTCCACATGACTAGCGTGGTCTCATTTGATCCTCCAATGTCCCTGTGAAGTGGGTGCTATTATCATCCTTATTTAATAGTAAGGAAACTGAGATTTAGGCCCGTGCCACATGTTGCCCAAGGTCACACAGCCACTAAATGGCAGAGGTGGGATTTGAGCCCAGATCTGGAGGATTAATGACGACCCCACCTTGCTGAGCCACTTACCTCTTTGATGCGCAGGTGTGTCGCTCTGCCTGGTGACAAAGGACTCAGCCCTGTCTGGGTGGCTGGAGAGGATAAAGTAGGGCTGTTGTGCTGCCACCTGGAGGGCAGAGTAGAACCCTAAGGGCTCTTGGTGAACCTCGGGCCACCCTGGGCCCGACCACAGGGGTGACCTGAAGAGGTCAGCACGGTGGAGCCTCTGGCTGGGGGCAGACTGGAACCCAACACTTTCTGGGAATGTGAGCCTCTGCCTGGTAAACCTTCGTTCTGGAAAGAGGCAGGAGGCTGCCACTCCCTCCCCGTGCCTTCTGGGTGGCTTCCAACACCAGCAATGCCTGAGGTCATCAGAACTGAGTGGCTCAGGAAATGCCTTTGGTGCCTGTGGCTTCAGATGCCCTGAGGTCCAAATCATAACTTGCATCTGCCCAGCGATTTACAGGTCAGTGTTTACACCACAATGATCTCACGGAATCCTTTTTGCTTTCTGGCGGGCTGTGGTGATCATATCCATTTCACAGATGGGGAAACAGGCCAGAAGAGGCAAGGTGAATTGCTCAAGGTCACAGAGTGTGCAGGCTTGAACCCAGGTCCCACTGACTCCCAGTCCTACTCACTCACACTAGGCCAGTCATTTTCAAACCTCATTGCGTGGAGTCCTAGGGTGCTTGGGCAGGCCAGAGGTGACGGGGGAGGAGGAGGAGGAGGAGGGGAGGAGGGGAGGAGGGGAGGGGGTAAGGGGGAAGAGGCAGCCAAGGGGTCAGGCTCTGTCCTTTTCCCCCACTTCACTCTGGGCCACACCTGTATCAGGATTCTGTGTAAGGCTGGGTTTGAGAGGCTGGTGTTGCTAACTAAATATTTTCAGAGGACTACCCCAAACTGCTCTTCTTTGCTGGGAATTGGATTCAGGCTCCTCTTCCCCTAGGACCTTTTCTCTACAGGGGCAAGAAGAGACCTGCTCTCTGTTGGATGATGTATTCAACCCCAAGATGGCAGTGCAAGGGCTTGTAAGAGGTGCTGGACAGGGAGGCGGCAGCCTGGGTCTAGTTCAGGGATGTGGTCGTTATTCACCTTAGTCTCCCCCTCTGCAAAGATGAGGGGCTTGGCCTAGATAATTGTGAAAATCCAGCTGAGCTTAAATAACCTGTGGATCTGGGCCATCAGCCTTTGTTAATCACACCTTAAAACAGGACTGAGTCACTTGAAAGCATATGAAAATGTAAGTTTTTAGTATGTGAGTTTTTCTGAAAGTATATCCATAGCTTTCGTCAGTCGTCAAGAGGACTGTGATACAGAACTTCTAGCAGCCTGGGACTTTTTCTTCTTTTTTTTGGCGGAACTAGTAGGACATCTCTTTTTTGGGGGGTTGGGGGGTTTCGAGTTGTAAGAATATGAGAAAGCTATCTGCAGAAAGGAAACAAGGGCAACATATAAAGATAAGCAGAGCTAAAAAAAAAAAAAAAAAAAGGGAGCTGGACGAGAGTAAGAGCCTGCAAGCTGACAGTGTTGTTCTAGCCCCTAGACCCAGCCGTGCCTGATGCCCCTCCCATTTCTCAGCTACATGAACAACTGCCTCTACTCCCTTAAAGCATTTTCCATTTCAATCACTTATAGAATAAATGAGCGATGTGTTAATATTATTGGGAAAGGTTCTTGCCATTTGAAAAATTATGAGGCTTAACTTAGAAAAAGGGAAGCAGGGAAAAGGGGGGCTGAGGTGCGGACGTTCTCCTGCTGTTTCTGAATTGCAGATAAGAAACACGTCCCCAGTTTTGTTCCCTCTCCGTTAGTGTTTGGGCAAACTGGAGGCTCTGAGAGGTGGAGGAGACCTGGGAATCAATCCTACCATGACATGGACAGACCACCAAGGTCTAGAGAGGGGCTGTGACTTTCTCAAGGTCGTGCAGTCGCGGGAGGCAGGCTGACACCACAGCCGAGGCCACCGGCTCTGAGGCAGGCCCCACCTCAGCGCGACTCCCCCAGTGTCTCTTTCCCAGGCCGGCTTGCCAGTCAGGAGAGCTCAGGAGGGTTCTCGGGCTTGCGAGTGTTGCTTGGCCACCTGGGCTCGTATCTTATCCAGAAAATTCTGCAGTCTGGATTTGTCAGGTTCTGTGGGCACAGGGAAACAATGGAGGTTTGGGCCTAGGGTCTGGGAGGCGGTGAAGGGAACTGACCCATTTGCCTGCCTGGGTCCCATCCCTCTTAGGTGACAGGCACAACTAGGGCCCTGGGCAGGGAGCCCCAGCTGGGATCGGGGTCCTAGAGGTCAGGGCCAGGCCAGACGTTGCCCAGGGCCACCCACAGCAGGGGGGTTTAGAATGCTGCTGAGTCAGACAGGCAGGCAGGATCTATGGGACAAGACCAAGGGAGGGGTCCCTTGCGGCCGCAGGGCACAGACTGGTTTAGTGCTGGAGGCAGTAATGGATCCCCGGGGGGCCACCACAACTGTTGCCCACAGGACAGCGGGAGGGACGGGGACAAACCTGAAGGGGAAGGGGAAAGAAACACCAGACACTGCCTGCCACCCGGACCAGAAACTGCTCGCAGCCGCACAGAAGAAATGAACTTTAATGTCCGCCTTTGTTCCCAATCCCGCCCAAGTGCCAGCGTTCGGTGCAGGACAAAGAGGGGCTTGAGAGGTACGAAGTCACGAGACAAACAAGGCCCCGCTGCCTCCTGGGCGTGCACTCGCTCTGCCCCACACGCGCACACATGCAGACCACACGTTCACCGCACAGACACACACACGTGCACCCACGGTTAAACACATGTACGGAGGGACGCGTTGATATATACAGAGAGAGAGGCGGAATCCCGGCCGGCGTCGGGGCCCCAGGCTCTCAGCATGCTCGGCCCAGCCTCCCGCGCTGTACCTGGCACCCATGCCCCTGCCAGAAAAGCAGCTGCCCCTCTCCCCGCCCCCCGCCCGCGTTTCCCCTCGGGCCCGGGTCTGCCAGGCGCCGCCCCGCCCCGCCCCGCCACGGTGCTGTCCCCCACCACAGGGAAGGGAGGCTGCGCGCGGGGCCCTACAACGGCCCGGGCGCCAGGGGCATGTTGGTTTTGAAGCCGGGCTGCCCGTTGGCCACGTCGGGCGCGGCCTCGCTGCCCCCGTTGCTGGAGCCGCCGTCGGTCTCGGGGCTCTCGGGCTCGGCCAGCAGCTTGAAGGTGAAGAGCGGGCCCGAGTCGTGGCGCCCGCAGCGGCCGGAGGGCTCAGGCAGGCTAAGGAGGGCGCCGGGCGCCTTCCACTCGGGGAAGGCGCACAGCTCGACGGGCGGCGGCGCGCCGCGGCCCAGGTAGCCGGGGCTCGGCGAGGCCGAGGGCAGGGTCCTCTGGCTGCCGCTCAAGCAGCTGCCGCTGTCGTCCAGCGAGTCCTTGCGCGACTGCGAGCGCTCCAGCGAGCCGCCGCGTGTCCACGGCCGGTAGGTGTAGGCGCAGTTGCCCAGGCGACGCCGCCGGCGGCGCCGGCGGCGGGCGCGGCACTGGCACCCGAGGATGCGCAGGAAGGCGCGCTTGAACTCCTTGCTGGAGCACGGGTAGATGATGGGGTTGAGGCAGCTGTTGAAGTAGCCCAGCCAGAACACCACCTTGAACACGGCGTCGGGGGGCTTCAGGGTGGAGAAGAGGGAACCTGCAGGGGGGAGGTGGGGTGGGCGAAGACAGAAAGACAGCAGTTTGTGAGTAGTCAAGCCCTCTCCTCTGTGTGCTCTACCTGCACATCGCCCACGGGCCGGACGCTGCCAGGCCTTGGGGCAAGGCCACTTCCTTTGCCAGGGATGCTCGCCTTTCTGTCTCAAAATGAACGACTCCTACATTCACTTTTAGGGCCAACCTCAGGAACTTCCCCGTCGCCCATGAAAGCTTTCCTGCTCTAGCTACACAGCATCTACGCTCCTCTCTCTCTAGGTTTCTCTAAACCCACCACACAGGGGCAGTGTGGGTCAGGGACTGGGCTGCCAGGCGCCTGGGATTCCTTGCATATTTCGGCCCCCTCTTCCTCCCCCCTCTCTCTCCCGGGCAGCACAGTAGCCGCTAGAAATAGGGGCCCTCTTTGCCACACTGGCCTGCCCTGGTGGGAGCGAAGAAGCCCAGTTAATTAAGGAAGGTCCTGAGCCTCTTTGGCATGAAAGAGGGTCTGTGGCAGGGATCTTTTTCCCTGGGCATCAAAACAGACCTTTGGGGGTCAACGAAGCGGCCAGGAGAGGGGAGCAAATATCAACAGGAAATGAGGGTTCCTGGAAGCCTGCTCTCTGCTAGAAGTCAGGGCTGTGCTGGGCTCTGTGACACAGCCCCAAACTCCCTGAGCATGTCCCTGAGCCTGGATCCACTTCTCTTGCTTATCAAGTGGTCCAGCGCTCCTTGCCCTGTGTCTTAGAACCCTGGTTTGCCAGGGCTGGGAAACTGCCTTCGTCAATGGGAGCTCGGTGAGAATGGGTGACTTGCTCAAGGTCACTCAGCTGGTGAATGGCCGAATGACCCCCAGCACCCAATCAAGTTGTTATTCATTTGGTTCCACAAACACTTGTTGAGGCATCAGTGGTCAGTGGTTAAGGTCCTGTTCAGACATCACAGGTAGGTAGGGCGGGCTTCCCAGCATGTGGCCTTGGAGAAGCCAGCTGAGCTGATCAGGCTCAGTTTCCTGGAAAATAGTGATTGACGGTGGTAGCTCTTTTCTGCACGGCTGACATGAGCTGGGGCTTGGTAAGTGCCTGGCATGGTGAGTGCCCGCAAGTGCAGCTATTCTGACTGCTTCAAATACAACTGCTATCACTACCGCCAATGCCGCTGTTACTGCCAGCAGCGCTACTACAAAGGCGAGGAAGAGGATGAGATCCTTGCTGACCACATGCCAGGACTCTCACCTCACTGCTCTTTCTAACACGGGCCCAAGCATGGGTCCCAGGCGCTTCCTGAGCCAGCTGAAACTGTATGTGACATTCACACTTTGTTCTAGGGGAGAGTCCATAGCTGTCATCATGGGCCTGAAAGGGTCCGCAACCCTCGGACGGTGAAGCCCCGCCCATCTTGAGTCTTTGGCTCACGAAGCCTCAGTCACTCTACCACCTGGACCACTTATTTTTACCCTCCTTTCACTGCCTTTAAGTCAGCTCACTTGTTGTATCTAAATTTAAAAAAAATTAAAGACGCTTTTTATTACTATTTTAAAAGCTGCATCATTGGCTATAAATAGAATGTCCTGGTAGAGAAAAATAAGATCGCTCCAGGCGGTGGTGGACCTGAGGTCTGCCGTCTTTTTCAAGAAGGGAGAGTCACTGAGGTTGAAGGGTGATGAAGACTCGCTGGCCCTAAACGGAGAGGCATTCCCCTATGAGCACCTACAGGGCTGCAAGAGAAGTGAACCTGGAATCACGTTCTCACTGGAGAATCCAGACCCCGGCACATTGTCAGGGGCTAAGTAAGTATTTGCTCAGTGACTGGCAGATTGGCTGAATATGTGGTTCACAGACTCTTGTGCCACGTCTAGCTGTCGTTGCAAGCTGTCTTGCATACCACTGAAACCTGTACAGAACTTGAGCAGCAGCGTGGGCACAATCCTGGGAAACCACTTGCTGGAGGCCCCATGGCTCCATTCTGATGCCTCAGCCTCTTACTGAGGCTTTTTGAAGCAGCTCAAATGAGACAACATTTCTGAAAGGGCTTGGAGGGGTTGGAAGCTGGACATCTGGGTGGGGTGAGGAGGAGGTGCAGTTTGGGGGACAGATAAAGCTGCAAGCAGATGGTGCAGTGAGCCCACCCCGTCACTTGGGCTTTGCCTGCTTTAAGGCGATTTAGAGGGATTGTGAAGTTCAAGGATCAAAAGCTAAGGCTGAGCAAGATCAGCGAAGGGAGAAGTAGTTCTTGGCTGCACGTGGTCCCAGTGAGTATCCTTAAGGTGCCATTCAACAAATCTGAATAGTGAAAACAAGGTCTCTGGGAACCTCTGCTCTTCAAAACCATGAGGCATGTTTGTGGAACAGCAGCCACCATTGAACAAGCCGACTCTGTGCCAGCCACTGGGCTAAATGCTTTCCCGCCTTTTTCCAGTTGCTCCTCCAATAGTCACCGCTCCCAAGGCAGCCTGGCATGGCTGTGCCCTGCTCTAGGGGACGTCGTTCCACACGGTACTCTAAGCGCTCCTTAGTGACTGTGTCCAACCACATGGGTCTGCGGGAGCCATGACTACCACACTCAGGAGGAGTGGAAGGCAGGCTGCTATACCTACAGCCAAGCCACGTCTCCCCAGTTTGGTTCAATAAAAATGCAAAATATTTAAAATAGTTGCTGAATCTTTCAGTACCAGCTGTGTAAGGGAGGTTTCCTTGGATTTGGAAAGTCCCTTCAAGGTTTTTCCATTTTCATTTGCCACTTAACCCTGGAATGAGATCATAAAATTGTCCAACAAATACAATATCTTTGGGGCCAACAGATCACGTCAAGTTTTAAAGCAAACTCTGAAAACAATAATAATCACCAGAGCCACCAGCCACATCGAACTAGGAACCAGTTGTTAGGTGCTATGTCCACCACTTCGCTCACGACATCCTTCCAGCAGCCCTGCTCCGCTGTGCCTCATCCCACAGATGACAAAACTGAGGTTTAAGAGATTAACAAAGTCACAGGTCTAGTAAGTGGTGGAGCTGGGATTAAAATCCAGCTATGAAGTCTGGCTTCTTACTCATTGCTTGATATTAAGAAAAGAAGCTTCTATTTATTTCCTTAAGCACCAGGCAATTTCTTCCTCAACTGGGGAGAATCTCTCTCTCTGCTGAATTGTCACAGCACTTTAACTGAACCTCAGATGTGGCATTTATCACTTTCTACCTTGAATTCCAGTTGCTTAGGGCTATGCCTTATGTCCCCTGATTAGACCATGAGCTTCTAGAAAAGAGAATTCATGTCTGATTTGTCTCCCTCCCCCCAGGACCGAGCACAGTGCCTGACACATGACTCAGCCAACGTGTACTGCATAAATAATGATAGTGAAACCATAACAGAACTGAAGCACGTTAGCTCCTGGCCACCAAAAGTGAAGTTCTTGCAGAGGCAGCATGGATACCACCTGGTGTGTGTTAGAAATGCAGAATCTTGGTGACCCAGTGAGTCAGAATCTGCTTTTTAACAAGATCCCAGGGTGAGAAGCATGGCCTTAGCCCACATTTCAATCTTACTTTAAACACTTTTTCTGGGTATGTTGAGCTTCATAGATGAGCAGAGGCTGGGCTGAGAGCCACCTCCTCACGGATTGACTCCCTCGCCCCAACACTCCAGTGGCTCCTAGAGTTTATGGGATCAAATTCAACCTGCTTAGGCTGGAATTTAAGACGTGCTCAACTTGGCTGCAATGGCCTGATTCTTTGCAACGTGAGTGGACTCTTCTGGCTCCTGGCCCTTCCTTCGTGCTGTCCGCTGGTGTGACAAGCCCTTTCCTTTGCCCTCCTCCTCTCCACCCTTTCCAGGCCTGGCTCAAATCCCTTCTTCTCATAACCACAGCCCACGAGGCACAGCTTCCTCTGAAGAGTGAAAGTAGGAGGGAGGAATGAGTTGGCCGTGAACTTGCCAAGATCTGGGTGACCCTCACCATAGGCAGGAGGGAGGGGTGGGTTCTTCAATTCTCAACTCTCAGTTTACAGTTGTGTAAATTAAGTCTCCGAAGATACAGAACTCACCCAATGTCACACAGCTATTAAACGGTAGAGATGGAATTCAAACCTGAATCTGCCTGCTCACACACCTGGGCAGTTTTCACAACAGACAATAGTGCCTCCGAACTCTTAGGACACCTGTGGGCCGGGGGAAAGCTAGAATTGTTTACATGCTATTTTTAATAGTATCTTTACACATTTTATCTCACCTTTAAAATACAAGTATCTAGAGGCCAAGAGTTTTGAACGACTCTATCCCAATGGTTCTTAACCTAACAATAGTGATTATGCAAATCATTTAGTATCATATAATTTCAGGGTTTCATAGACCCACCGAATTCCCACGGGGTATCCATGGGTACCCACGGGGTGCACAGTCACTAGATTAAGGGTCTCCGCTCTTCTCTCCATAGATTTCTTTCATAACAGCTGTTTGGTTTATTTATCTCAGAGTCTGTTTCCCTTGTTTCAAATTCCTTGAGGCCAAGACCTTAGTCATGTTGGTTTCTCTAGCACCTAACGCAGAGCTTGGCTTATAGTGAATGTGTAAAAAGATTTGTTAAGCACATAACCTCTGCATGTATGGTGCTCATCGTAGGTGGTGCATCAATGGTTGCGCAGTGACCCCTTGCTGGCACTACATTGTCTTCCTCTTATTTATTTAAATGGTAACGCAGGCCAATGCCCAGTTCAGTTCCCGTCTCCTTCCTGAACCTTGCTGACTGCTCCAGGCTCTTCTCCTTTATTCCCCATTAAAACAGAGTTAACTGGAAGGTTACTGCTAAAGGATGTGATGTGTGACTCTTTAGACAAGCAGTGTCAAAGCTCCTTCACAATGGGGTCTGTGTCCTGTTTTTGTAGCACAGGGCTGAGCATAGGTCAGCGCAATAGATTGCCCACTGACCGGTTGGCCCATTCCATCTTCCAGAAGGGAAGCTACCTCCTGGCTTGGGCCAGAGTTGAGAGCAGATGGGGTGCAGTGGTGTCC